TCTCTCTCTCTCTCTCTCTCTCTTTCTGTTTTCTCTTCTTTTTCTGTCTTTCTTTCTGGGTCTGTGTTGACGGTGCTGCTGGTGGCAGGCTGAATCCTGCGGAGATACGCAATTCTCTGTTATTTCCGTCTGCCATCGATTCATTCTCCTAGCTCATAAAATCTTAAATAACGATAATGCATTTCAGTCTAACGTTGCACACACTAAACTAACAATTCTTTTGAGGGGAGGCGAGGACTAATTCATCTCAGGTCCTATTTCTTGGCCACTTATATTTTACAGTAATTATAACTATTGTTGTCGAGCCCTATTTCTCTCTACGTATGTTCCTCATGTATCCATTTTGCAATATACAGTGACTAGATGGCAGTCACAAGTGGTAGGTACACTCGAAATTGTCCAAGACGGCAGCCGATTGTCCCGGAGAAAGTGGCTGTTGTAGACAAGCGGACGCGTTGGACAGTGTCATTAAACTGATAGGGCCCATAAAAAACGCAAGAGGAAAGTGAGAAGTGGTTGTTTGTACTCGCGATAGTCTTGTACATGTTAGAGCAGGTTCGACTGTACTGCTTTCTCTTTCCCTCACTTGTTACTGACTGTCTGAAGTTTTCCTCCAGCATTAAAAGGCAACTATCGTATTCATATATACAAGCACTTCTATTTACTTGAACTCAGTTTTTGCCAAACTGGGTGATGTCTCCCACATGTGGGACATTTGGTTTATTTTGGTGGGCGAGGGTGTTTTGACCCGAGTAGAGACAGACATAATTTAATGCCCCACTTGGAAATACATGTAGGTGGACCGTTTGAAAATCTGGCAATAGTGGGCGCTGGTCATAAAATAGTTTACGAGCACTGCTCTTGCTAAAGTATACTATCAATAATATTATGTATTCATTCTAGAGGTGTCTACTGTCCTTTTAACACTGAAATTTACTAGACATGAAACTTTTCTATTCCCAGGTACAGACCGAGATCAGGAAGCGCTACATCCGGCACCGGCTGAGGGTGAACTCAAGAAAGTTCCAGAACAAGTATGTGGCCACGTCCAGCTCGCACGTGCGGCCTCGGAGCTGCCCCTCCTGCTCCCCCCGGCACGAGTCGAGGTACCCGCAGTGCTGGCTGTGATGTGTACTACCTCCTCCTTCTCCTCCTCCGTCCTCATCCCGTCAGTCCATCCGTCAGTCCATCCGTCCGTCCGTCCGTCCGTGCGTCCGTGCGTCCGTCAACTGTCGTGCTGGGTTGTGTTGTTGCAGTGCTTAGGCTTCCCCCGGGGCCCGTGCTGTTGTTGTAAAGTTCCTGCCTCCCCTTGCCACCCACACCCGGGACAAGGGATAGGACAGAGCGGTACGCTCTCCTTGCACCACCCAAATATCTGTATCCAACTTAGCATAGATTAGAACCCTTTTCGCTTATAGAAAATGTCTGTGTATGTTTTGACTAATAATTTCCTACAATTCTAAACGAAATGGAAACAATGTGTCTTACTTATAATGGACAAAAAGAAAGGGTGAATAAAGGATATTTATTTGGTACTAAGTTTTTTTAATAAGGTTTGAAAAGCAGCTCTCCCCCCCCCCTTTTTCTGGTATTGGGTTTCTTCCACGGGGGAGGGGGGGTGTAATATAAAATTGTATTCTGGCGTGCTGTTGAGATTTTTATTTTATTTTGCCGATTCGCTTTCTTCCTGCACAGACTATTAAAGTTTTCGTGACCTGTGCCGTGTCTTCCTTCAAAAACAATATTGTTTTCACTGGCACGGCATCGGCGATCTCAGCACACTCAGCAATTACGCTGCTTTCCCTTTGCTTCAAATTAATTCCAAGAATCTACAATGTCAAAGTTTCTGTTTCGTTCGAAATGTTTTCTTCTTTGCTGAAAAAGATTTATTTTCCATATATCACTTTCATCGGTCTGAAAATGTGATGACCTATTTAAAACGCACTTTATTCTGAGACTGCATTGGCTTTCTCCCCCTATATTTTCAATATTATACAAACATAATAAGGTTCCAATACTTTACAAAATGGGGTAGCAAGGGGTCCACATTAAAGATACTTGTTAAGAGTAGAAAAAGAAAAGACTACTACTTACTAATATCGACTAACAGTTTTCTCTGATACTTCTCGAATGCATGTCTTTACCTTCTACTACTTTTTCATCCCCAAATTGTCACTCTCCTGTGAAGCGCAAAAAGTATGAAAAAGTTAGAAAATAAAATCACTCTTAGTAAAAGTGCATATTTTTTTCATATTGATTGATGGCACCCACGCTAGGGGTCTCGACATTAGGATGGAAATATAGCAAATGAAAAATAAATACGCAGGGCCATTATATTCCCAGTACAGATAATAAAGAAATAGTAAAAATGATTCTTGACTGTAAAGTGCTCATAAAAAGGATTTTTGAAGAGGTTTAGACATTCAGGGACAACTGGACGAAAGTGAAACAGTTGTATATTTTTGCTTGTTTATTTGTTTGCTTGCTTGCTTGTTTGCTTGTTTGTTTGTTTGGCGGATTAATTTGTATTTATTTTTTTAGTTCATTTGTTTTGTATGTTTTGTTCTTCTTTGGGAGGGTGTCCTTTTCCGGTTTTTAATTTTTTCCCCCTTGTCACGTTGCCATAATGTGGTTTCCCTCGCTTCTTCCGTAAATAGACCAATAGTTTTTAACCCCTTCTGCAATATAACGTGAAATCTACAACCTTGTTCTTTCCTTTTGATTCGGAACTTGAAGAAAACCAAGGTGTTAATGTTCCTGTTATTGTTGTGTGGGGTATTGTTATTTTAATTTGCATTGTTGTTTATGTCATTTGGGATTTTTTTATTTTAACAAAGGCAATGATGAGCAAACTATTGCGTTTGTTTTGTGTTGTTTTATTTGTTTGTTTGTTTGTTTGTTTGTTGTTGTTTTGTTGTTGGGTTGTTGTTGTTGTGTTTTTTGGAGGGGCGCTAAAGGTGCAGAATCAATAATTAGTTTGTTATTGCTTCTCTATTCTTGATATTCATATCGTTATAGTTGCCTTCATGCCTGTTGTTCTCACGCTCAGCTTGGGCGTCTTTGTGTCCCTGATGTGTGCACTGTTATGGAAGCACTCACCTCACGCCTAACCTTCATGCCCCAAGTTCACTCTCAATTCTGCGTCCCTCATACATCACCGTTTTAGTACTATTTTTTTTCGGGGGTGGGGGGTTGTTTATCAATGTTTGTTTGTTTTACTTGTTCGATTGTATGTTCTTTTATTATTTTGGGGGTTTTGTTTGTTTGTTTGTTTGTTTGTTTGTTTGTTTGTTTGTTTGTTTGCTTGTTCGCTGGTCTGTTTGTTTACTTGTTTGTTTGGGGAGCAAAAAAGAGAGAGGGTGGGTCTTTAAAAAGAGAAAAGAGGGAAGCAAAAAAAGACAGTCAAGAATTTTATAAATGGAGCGAACAGGGCAAAATAATTTGGAGGAAACATTTTGCAATTTGAAAAAATAACTCAACATAGAGGGCACTCAAATCTATTTGGCATTGTAGGAAATGGAAACAAAACTGTCTCAGGAAAAAAAAAATAATAGGCATGTTTTCAGAGGGAAGCAAAAATGAACGAATCACACAAATGTATTGTGGCAGGCGATTTTTCCACCTGAGATAAACAACAAAAGCTTCATTCCAGCGCCATTTTGGAAGATTTTATAGCTCTGGATTTTTTTTAAAATGGTGTCTTTACTTTTTAAGATGAATTTGATAGTCCATCGTTTGTCTAGATTTGTAGACAATCTAGACAAATATATCTGCTTGTGGAATAAAAATGTATGTTTGTCTGATGACTAATGTGAACAGTGTCATTGTGCCAAGATAGATTTTTATAGTGCAGCTTTAGTGAGAAAAAGGTACATGCGCCCCTTTCTCTCTCTCTCTCTCTCTCTCTTTCTCTCTCTC